TGTTGAAACAACTAATCTTTGTAATAGGCAAAATTTCTAACTGTATAAAAGATATTTTTTATATGTTTACTAAAACTTTTGGCTGGTGATGAGATATACCAGTCTGAATCTCAAACCTTTTATATATCACTCATTACAGAAATGAAAACCTAAAGCTGCTGACAGTATTTAATTATGTTAGAATTTGTAAAGAAACCTTCATAACCTACACTTCCTATTACTCACTTGATCGTAACGTTTGGTCATTTCTCCACGTTTTAAAGAACAAGCTGTGTTGTTTCCTGACTGACTGATATAACTGATAATATGTGATCTTTTGCTAGAAGGTTCTGTAAAGGAAAATACACATAGTAGTACCACAGCTAAAAGTTTACTTGGAAGTACTTATTCACTACTGATATCTTAACCTATTTTAGATGTTTGTGAAAAATAAAACACAGGTAGTACAATAATTAAACATGCATTAGGAAGAACTTATATCATTATTGATATATGATCTTGTGTTAGGTGTTTGTGTAAAATAAGACATAGGTAGTACTATAGTTAAACATGCATTTGGAAGAACTGATATAACTATTGATATCTGATTTTGTGTTAGGTGTTTGTGTAAACTAAAACAAAGGTAGTACTATAGTTAAACATGCATTTGGAAGAACTGATATAACTCTTGATATCTGATCTTGTGTTAGGTGTTTGTGAAAAATAAAACATAGGTAGTACTATAGTTAAACATGCATTTGGAAGAACTGCTATAACTATTGATATCTGATCTTGTGTTAGGTGTTTATGTAAAATAAAACATAGGTAGTACTATAGTTAAACATACATTTGGAAGAACTGATATCACTATTGATATCTGATCTTCTGTTAGGTGTTTGTGTAAAATAAAACATAGGTAGTACTATAGTTAAACATGCATTTGGAAGAACTGATATAACTACTGATATATGATCTTGTGTTAGGTGTTTGTAGTTTCTGTAAAATAAAACACAGGTAGTACCATAGACAAATGTGCACTGGGAAGAAATAATGTGATTGGTTAAATATAACGTAGGTGCTGGACTAATCATAGAGGTATAGAGGACAACATTTGAGGAACAGAGGCTGAATTTTATGTAATTTAGATTTTCGCTGGTTGGTTTCTATAAATTAAGATATGGAATATTTAAATAATCTAAATAGGTGAGTACTGATTTCAGTTATTGTGAATAAGACTGGCACGATGCTACTTATATCTTAGTTTTACTGATACAATATTCCTTCCATGTATGCCTGGCAGAGTATAATGCTAGAATTACAATCACACTAATGCTACCATTGTCACAGTAATATCTATTCCTAGTTGCGCTCTCGAGAGCTTTCTTTCCTGCCTAGCAGAAGCTGTTGAGATGGAAAACGATAGCTTCTCCAGGACAAAACAAAAACATCGTCGTTCGATGGTTCTCCATGTCTGTGCTTAAAATAGGCAGCCATTTTAAACATAACTCTAAAAAACTGAGAAACCTAGAACCTAATATTTACAATATCAAGTCTGCAATAGGAATTCAATAATTTGTGTTGTAAGTCGAAATAATAGTATACCCTACCTTTCTACAAAATATTCAGTTATTTCGATCCTACGGATAAAAAAACACAACCCTGAAAAGGCAGCTTTCCAGCACGAGAGGTGTGACGAAACTTGTAGTACTACGCCTATCTCACAGCGTCCTTGCAAAGCACCCGGGCAATGGATAATCGATTTACTCCATTCACTCAAGGTCTCAGTGACTGGCGGGAAATGTCACGTGGCAACTATACACCGACGCGCTGCCACGCAACTGCTTGGTTTACGCTGTTCCATTCGTAACTCCCCTCCCTGCTTACACGTCATCAACAGAGAGCACGAGGCTATATTTAGGTTTTTGACTCATCCAAACATGTAGTCGCATTGGCTGTACTGGAAAACGGAATATTGAAACTAGATAAACGAAAAACAACTGCTAAGAATAATATAGAAAGTTCCTTATTGAATCCATATTATGCAAATAGCACGTGTTATTAATATCTTACAGTAACGTACACACCTACTGATACATAAAAAGTCGTATGTAACTTTCTAAGGTGCAATAAATCTGACTGGACTTACAGCCCAAAGTTTCTCTATTGAATCATGCCTAAATATATCTTTGTATTTATTATTAATTGTTAAAGACATTTTGCAGCTCTCCTGGTAGAAGTTGTTATATAAGTGGTTTTAGGCTTGACGAGACACGTTTCGAGATGATTGTTTGTTCTATACAAGACAGTATGGTTCCATTCTTTTAACGAATATTATAAAGGGGTGGGTGAGTGGAATAATTGTTCTAGTTTAAAATCCAGGTGCCATCTTTATGTACAACATGATAACACTTAACAAACGTCTTAGTTTCACGCCCATGCAGGCGAAAAAACAACAACAAAAAACACAACAGACACTTAGAGAAATATGATCCAAGCGCCATCTTTACGTGCATCATGACAACATTTACAAAATTTCTCGGGTAAGGTATAGTATATTACAAATTCACTCTCGTGCAATAGTACAGGGTATGTTAAGAAGACAAAATTTAAATATCTAAATGAGGTTTAAAAACAAAACTAAAATCAAATAGTAGAGATTTCAGTAATAATAGGTAGTCAAACAACGATTTATACGCATAAGAAAATGTTCTTTGATGGTGGTTCACATTACATGTTTATAATTCATTGTTTGACTACTTATTATTATATTAGCATAATGTGCTTCCTTACTCAAGGTTTCAGTAAACAGAGGTATAAAAATACATATTAAGGGTTTAAATAGAGAGTTTGGATGTGGTTTTAAAATGTTCAGTTTGGACAGTTAACAGAAAACTTGATACTTATTTGACTGTACCTTCAGCTTAACTCACATGAATTAAGAAATTGCAACATGAACTAAATCTTGGATGGTTCAGTATTATTTATTTGTCGAATATTTTCACATATTGTAGATGGCGCTAGATAGATGTTATTATTGCATATATCCATGTAATTTGCACCACAGGAAATTTGTAAAATTTACAGCCTATAGTGGATGATAGTCAAATGAAAAAAAGAACCAAAAAATACCTGTATAATTTCTTTTTTTTTGGTAGAAGTAAGGTTAATAAAAGAAACAAAATATGTGAAACTTTAAGGTATTAACAAATTACAGGTTAAGGTAGAGGTTAATCAAACAAGATTTTAACAAACTACAAGTTACAGTAGAGGTTAATCAAACAAGATTTTAACAAACTACAGGTTATGGTTAAGGTTAATCAAACAATATTATAACAAACTACAAGTTAAGGTAAAGGTTAATCAAACAAGATTTTAAACTGCAGGTTACAGTAGAGATTAATCAAACAAGATTTTGACAAACTACAGGTTGTGGTAGAGGTTAATCAAAGAAGATTTTAACAAACTAGTGGTCAAGGTAGAGGTTAATCAAACAAGATTATAACAAACTACAAGTTATAGATGAGGTTAATCAAACAAGATTTTAACAAATTACAGGTTATGGAAGAGGTAAATGAAACAAAATTTTAACAAACTACAGGTTAAGGTAGAGGTTAACCACACAAGATTTTAAAGAACTAAAGGTTACGGTAAAGGTTAATGAAACAAGATTTGTGGAATATATAATAAAGTAGAGAACTGGCTGAAAAGAAACTTAGCCACCATTTCTCTTTTTCGAGGATTCCAAAACAAAGTTTTGTATGTTATTATCACAGAAACATTGGTTTAATCAATCAAAACAATGGTCATATTTAAATATTTCTTCAAATAATTTCAATTTTTAGCATTAATTAAACTTAAAGACAAAAGTAACCAATGCTGATTTGTTAAAACTTAAAAGTAGTTTCCTATAAGTGTAGAAAATATGTTAAGAAATAAAACCCTCCCAGTAAATCTGTATCACTTTCTACACTTCTTCCAATATGGATATTCAATCACACTCTTTAAAGGAAAAAAAAAAAAGAGGCCCATAAGAAACACTTATGTAGTTATGTAGTATGTTGTTACTGATTTCTCTAAGTAACAGAAGTTATATGTAGTTTGGATAAAATGGTTAAACTTCATCAGTTGGTGCGAAAAAACGTATTAAAAAATACAGATCCAATGTTTAATAAGAAAGCAATTTTATTTGGAATGCAACTTTCAGTGTATTTTACACAGTCCAATAGAAATATATATATACCAAGTTTCTCTATAACTTATATCTCTCTTCAACAGGGCAGGCTTCCTCTCTAGATTTCACTCCATTTTATTTATATCCAATAACAGATGATCTGTAGGTGTTACTACATACTCTAACTACTAACATCATTACTATAGTGAAGTCAATGTTAACTACTAACACAGGAGCATGTGACAAACATCATTACTATAGTGAAGTCAATGTCAACTACTAACACAGGAGCATGTGACAAACATCATTACTATAGTGAAGTCAATGTTAACATTGACTTCACTATAGTAATGATGTTTGTGACATGCTCCTGTGTTAGTAGTTAACATTGACTTCACTATAGTGTTGATGTTTGTGACATGCTCCTGTGTTAGTAGTTCAACTACTAACACAGGAGAATGTGACAAACAGCAATACTATAGTAAGTCAATATCAACTACTAACACAGGAGCATGTGACAAACATCAATACTATATTGAAGTCAATGTCAACTACTAACACAGGAGCATGTGACAAACATCATTACTATAGTAAAGTCAATGTTAACTACTAACACAGGAGCATGTGACAAACATCATTACTATAGTGAAATCAATATCAACTACTAACACTGGAGCATGTGACAAACATCAACACTATAGTGAAATCAATGTCAACTACTAACACAGGAGCATGTGACAAACATCAACACTATAGTGAAATCAATGTCAACTACTAACACTGGAGAATGTGACAAACATTATTACTATAGTGAAATCAATGTCAACTACTAACACTGGAGCATGTCACAAACATCAACACTATAGTGAAGTCAATGTCAACTACTAACACAGGAGAATGTGACAAACATCAATACTATATTGAAGTCAATGTCAACTACTAACACAGGAGCATGTGACAAACATCAATACTATAGTGAAATCAATGTCAACTACTAACACAGGAGAATGTGACAAACATCAATACTATAGTGAAGTCAATATCAACTACCAACACAGGAGCATCTGACAAACATCATTACTATAGTGAAGTCAATGTCAACTACTAACACAGGAGAATGTGACAAACATCAACACTATAGTGAAGTCAATGTCAACTACTAACACAGGAGAATGTGACAAACATCAACACTATAGTGAAATCAATGTCAACTACTAACACAGGAGCATGTGACAAACATCAACACTATAGTGAAATCAATGTCAACTACTAACACTGAAGCATGTGACAAACATCAACACTATAGTGAAATCAATGTCAACTACTAACACAGGAGATGTGACAAACATCAATACTATAGTGAAGCTAGTTGAACTGTTTAAATAGATGGTGCTAAAGCTGTTCATTGTTTGGGGATAGAACCCCAGTATAAGCTACCATAGTAGACAGCACATATGAGGGTAACCAAAACAATTAATAAACTATTATCTCCAGTGCATGTCACATATGATTACACACGTTTTTCCAACACAATTCTTTTTTAACAAGTCCATAACAGATTTTAAACCCACTATAAAATAACACTTTAAATGTTCACCATATCTTATGCTCAGGAAACTTTGAGCAAAAACTCTTTTGGAACTACTTTTTGAATGGAATAAAAATAGATCACTATTAAGATTAAAAGGAGACAACTGAAATACAGATAATTTGATGATATTATATTTTAAGTCTTCGTAGCAACGTATAAAAGATCGTACCAGTATAGGATTCTCGTACTTGCAGTCTTTTTTGCCTTTCCCTGTGCATGTATTAGACAAAACACTGAGAGACAGCTGTAGCAGCAGAAAAGTTCAGTTCTGAAAATAAGACCAATAATTAAGATATGGACAAATGTATACGTATTTTGTTAGCAGTGAGGGCAATATTTGGCTCTGAGTAAACATACCATTTCAAAATGTCTAGAAAGTGCTACTACTGTGGACCTTTTCGGTCGAGGGCTGATTAATGATCTACAAATGAAAAGCAATTTGTTTAAACAAATAAGCACTTAACAAAAATCAAATTAGCATTCTAATGAACATGTTACTGCCAGCAAGAAAGTAGGTATTTTTTTGGATAAAATGAAAAATCTTGAACCACTAAATGTTTTTATCATTTTATCAATTATATTTCAATCCTGCAGTGATAACTTATGACCTATTTACAGAAAATATATTAATGATACTAGTTATGTATATGAATAGATTACTAGAAAATAAATTTAATCAACAAAAATGCCATCATGGATAACTTGACTCTACAAATAATGATCCAATAAATTCTTGGCAATCCATGACTCTATCAACAAGTACCTAATGGGAGTGTATCAGTTCCTCAATCCATGACTATCAACAAGTACCTAATGAGAGTGTATCAGTTTGTCAATCCATGACTCTATCAACAAGTACCTAATGGGAGTGTATCAGTTCCTCAATCCATGACTATCAACAAGTACCTAATGAGAGTGTATCAGTTTGTCAATCCATGACTATCAACAAGTACCTAATGAGAGTGTATCAGTTTGTCAATCCATGACTCTATCAACAAGTACCTAATGAGAGTGTATCAGTTCGTGAATCCATGACTCTATCAACAAGTACCTAATGAGAGTGTATCAGTTCGTGAATCCATGACTCTATCAACAAGTACCTAATGAGAGTGTATCAGTTCGTGAATCCATGACTCTATCAACAAGTACCTAATGAGTGTATCAATTTGGAAAAAACAAAACATAATGTGTAGTAATACCAATGAAATAAAGTAATATACAAGCCATTTCTAAGCATTACTTCCTTTACAATGATTAAAAAAACTGTACATAAAAAAGTTGGTAAATGTAATTAATTATAGAGAAAAGAGGTTTTCTATGTTGTCACAGCAATCTTTATTTGACGATGGTTTCTGTTGTAACTAATGAATGGTCATCAGAAAAATTCTTTCTAGAAAATG